CACGTTAAGTACATTAGCATCTAAAACATTGCAGGTTCACTCTCGAATGAATAATTCACCAAATGTCTAATATAATTTAAAACACTAATTTGGTGAATGCTTCTTCGTTTGCGCGTCCCTCGCGTTCGCTCGTCCCAAATCAATTCAATTAGTTTGATAAATATTTAAGCGTCCATTAGGTATTAAGAAGAGAATCGGGTAGGTACATTTATTTCAATAACACCGTTTCTGATGGAAATAGGTCCGCGGTACAATTAACATTAATATAAAAGCCGTGCCAATTTCCTTAATGCGTTTTAGATTTTCATTTCTCATCAGCCGAAGTAACTCTCGAGCGTTATAAATTTCTCGAGTCGAACTATCAGAATTCACGCGCCACGTCGAACGTTCCTTCGACGATTAAACAATTTCCGCGATGGATTTTCATTGAAAATTCGATACAATATGATATTGGTAATGTTTTCTGCAATAAATTATAGATACTTATTAAAATCGTAAAAACTAAAGAGGATAAATATCTTTTAAATTGTATTTTGGTGATAACGATTCCTTCGGCATACGATCATAGGCGCCAGCAAGTATTTAGTTTGATATATGATTTTTATATAAATGTTGTACAATTTTATATTTATCCAGCTAATATTAACTGCAAGTTACAGGGTGGACTAACATTTCGAGATGTTATTATGTATATGTATAATTCATCAAAAAAAGGTCTCGAATACCTCCAATTCATTTATTCATCGAAATTCTTTTCAATACTGCAGTTTAAATTTTTTTTCCTCTACCATTAATATATGAAAGTAATAAGGAAATGTTACTGCAAACACACTAACGAGAATTACCTATTAATCAGCCACATTCACATTGCTGTACCTGTTCCCGCCATAAATACAAGAGTGAATAAGCTTGAAAAAAATAAAAGATACACAATAAAATACATCATTTAGAATTTATTGTCAGAGTGGTATAGGTACAGCCAGAACTAAGTATAAGAAGTAACCTGTCAATTAATTTAATTTTTAATAGGTTAATTTTACAGTTACCTCCTAATTATGTTAGATGTATGTAGATTCAAAAAAATATACTTAGATTTACGCAAATTAGCAAGAAGCATAAATATATGCCTGGTAAGAAAATTAATTTTATGTGATTAAACAACTAAGGCATGTTTTTCTGCAATCGACCGGACTATAACGCACTATTTCTAATTAACTCGGACGTTTGAGCCATAAATTCAAAGTAGAGGCCAATTTATGTGCGGCGTCAAATGAAAAATACAAAACGAAAACGGAACGGTGTCTATTAATTGACACAAATCTCCGCGAGCCGATTTTACCTTGGTCGATATTTTGCTTTATTTTTGTTTTCTTGGCTTGTTTAGCGAAAAATTTCGACTTGGAAATGGTTCGGGGGATTTAATGACGTCGGCATTCTCAGGTAATTGCTGCACTATTTGAATTATTTAAATTATTTCTGATTATTGAGGCGCACCTGGTCGGTTCTCCTGTTATTGTTTTACAACACATCGAGAGTTTCTACGTTAATTATCAAAGCGTGCTTTACTGGGTATATTTAATTAACAGTATTGTAGGAAACTAATAAAACTCAACATCGTATTATGGAAAATGAAAAGTACCTACAAGGAGCATGTTAAAATAAAATATTAAATGGATCTGCGACATTCCATCCAATTGGATTTATGGAAAGACAGCCGAAATTCAATTACATTACATATCTGTCTGTCTTCTTCTAATGCAAAGCTATATTCGTCCTTTTATTTGTCGGTAATATTACTGATGTACGTCTTGGATAGAGAGGGACGGAGATGGAGTAACTACTTTCCGAAATTAGGCAACGGACATGGCGGACAGAACTAGTGCTCTTTAGGAAATGGATTCGAACGAATTCCTTTCGAATTAAAATTATAGGGTTTTCGGTAATTGGCTAGTGCTTTACAAGACCGAAATGCTGATTTTCCTGAGCTATCAAATTTGGAATAGTTTTGTTTTGCAATGTATGAATTCAAAATAAGGAAATAACTTATTCTAAAACAAAAAAAAATAATATTTACAAGTTACTATTAATTATTAATGATAGTTACTTCTATTAATTTTCTATAGGTATACCATGAGTAAAATATACTTATTAATTCCAAACTTATCCATTAATCATCCACATATTAAATTTTATCGAACCATAATTAAGCATACCTAATCACAATTAGCCACTAATTTGATTTCTCACAGATATCTTTCCTATTTCATCTAATTCTCCTCGTAATAACCCGCATACCCGAATAAGCAAGAGCAGGCACAAACCCCGAAAAAAAACCGACCATTAACAAAGAAAAACGCTACCCACTACATAACTTTGAAAAATTAATTAGTCATTAAATCGGCTACATTGTACGAAGCGAGGTTTAAATATGAAACTTAATTAGTTTGAGATTGATAGTACGATAGCTTTTATAATCAGATATTCACCTGCGCATTTACGAGAACCTCGCTCGCTCACTCGCTCTTTCACAAAGGGCCTCGCTTTTCGCATACTACGGCATTCAATTAGGTAAAACGTATAAACGTAAAAAACTATACTAATAAAGTTAATGGACGAATATAATATGAGGGATTAACTATCATGTACTTATACGTATAAACGAATTAAATTCGTACACAAATTATCCTCCATTAGTACTGATGTAGTTGAAATTTAACGGATTTTTAATTGGAAAACTTGCCAAATTTGCTGCATTCTATTTAATGTGTACTAAAATTATACAGACGAATGCTATTTTGTATGCATAAATAATTATTTTATTATATTTCTTCTGTATATTTTTCAACTTTCCCAATCGAATAAATTTTGTTTTTTAAACTCAAGTGCACAACAATTTTCGGAGCAATCAAAAAGTATGAGGTTCATCTAATATAGATGGCATTCTATCTTCATATACCGTCATATGAGGGGATATCTACATAATTCAAGGACTCGTAAAATAAACGCGTAAAAGCCGAATTTCCTAATTGGTAAGGAGTTTCAATTTGTGCTTTATGGCAGACGGGTGTGAAGTTTGATATAGAAAAGCAATATGGCCGACTGTACTTTAGTTGATGAGAAATGAAAATCCAAAACGCATTAGGGAAATTAGCGCTGCTTTTAAATTAATGACGTAATGAAAGTTCTACGTTGATTACGAATTTTATCTGTCGGTTATATTCAAATTTCTACCTACCCGTTGACTGGTACTACATACACAGTGACATAAAGTACCAGGAAAAAAATGTCGCATGTGGCTATTTCTGGTGAGTTAGGCGGCTGGTCGATGGTACTTCACACGAACCATCATGTCAACATCGAACAGTTGACGATATCGTTTTTAAAGGAAACCCAGCTCTAATATATCGGAACGAGCCGAGCCTCAACTCGCAGCATGTCTGGTTGGTTGAGCAAAATCAAACGAGCGGTTTAACGGGAGATGTTGAGGTCACGTGCTACTTCTCTAATACCAGCATGATGATTTTAGAACTCAATTTTCTTCATTTTCTCGCCGTTGTCATTGCTTGAAGAGGTGGAAGAACGTCCGGAACAAGGCAATGCTTTAGCGATCTCCTGACTGTCTTTAAAAGTTTTGTACCATTTCTAAATATGGGTTTTCGATAAAACAGAGTATTAAGTATTTCGTGTTATCTAGTTAAGTGTTATCTAGTTAAGTATATCTGTGTTCATTATTTTTGCCCATTGCTAAATTCGCAGAGCACTACTGAGATGAACTGATTCAATCAGCTGCTACAACCAAACTGATTGAAAAATGTTTCTAATTTTTTGCATGCTTATTAAGAACAAAGTTACTTACACACAGAAACTTGAAATAGTTAAAAATATTATTTCCGAGTACTTTTTTCAGACGGTAATTATACCGGATATACTTTTGAGGCAATAGTGCTCCATGTTTGGCTTTTTTTGTTTCTAATATCTCAATTTTGAGGTACCTATGAAAAATCCAAAAATTAAAATCACCCTGCGTATTTATAAATTTATATTTCGAGCCAAAAAAATTGCAAAAGATAAGGTAAGTTAATAATAAACATAAAGCATATACATATAGCTTTAAAATGTAATTTCGATTGGATAGAGCACCGCATCAGCTCGGGGCGGCCATAATTTTATTTCTTCCTCGCTTTTTTCCGTCGTCCATTTCGAGAAAAGAGTGACATTATAAATCGTCAGAGGGATATTGAAGTGAACTGAGGGTCTTACATCAAAGTCAAAAGTTAATTTCCTTTTGCGTCTTGACCAAGTTATTATTTAATCTGTGTTGTGGTCATTTCTATACGCATTTGATTGATGGAAATCATATTTCATTCAACGGCCCCGGTCGCCGACTGCACGCACACAAAAAGTTAATTGATTAATTAAAATTTCTTTTCCTTTCGATAGTTAATGTTTTTACGGTTCAGCCATTATTCGAAAAGTTTCGTCGTGAATTAATATCGCAAAGATGTAGCTTTCATGCTTCTGAGGGACAATGAATACTAATAAAGAAGAGAAATGTATAGCTGGAAAAATGGATACAAATTGAAGAATATAACTTAGAAAATGTAATATTGGTAGACATGGAAAAATGGGCGAATAATAAAGGAACATTTAATTTTTAATTGTTATCTAAAGATCTAAATGTACCTTATTTACATATTTAACTTACCTCTATATTATTTGCTTTAAATGAGCTTTCTTCCTTCCATTGATTTTTTACAATTTCTTATTTTTTTAGACTTTTTTATAACAGTTGTGATTCCAAAAAGTTATTTACAAGTTGTCCTTCAACTTTATTTCTATTCAATGATGTAAAGTTATTTCATTAGTATTATTTTATTATTTCTTTACATTTGCAATAAATTCAATAATACTATATCTTCTAAAACGATTGAAAGTAAAACAAGACGCTTGTACGTATATTTTTTATATTACACGAATATAAAAAAGAAACAAAAATTCATAATTAACAATACTTTATTATTTACAAAAATAACAACAACATACCAAAATGAAACTAGCGATCAGTAAAATTTTTCTTCGTCATTTTTTTTAATTCACAAATCGTCTTCGAACAAATATTTATACAATCCAAATTAAAGTAACTTTGTACAATCTATACAAACTTTTTACGTTTCTTTTGAGCTAGTTATGCGAGAACTCCCTCTTCGAGCGATCGGTTTGTCTCAGTTTTTTTCCGGAAAATTACGTTCGCTTTCGAAACGGAAAATAATACACGAAACGAGGAAGCGAGAGGTGTGTGTGTATGAGTGTCTGAACCAAAAGTTCGGATAGTTCAAGGAAATGCTTCTTTTTTCGAAAAAATATTGCACGCCCCTGTTTTGCCCGGCTACAACGGTTCAACTGAAATAGAAGAAAAAGAAAAACGAATTAATTTGTTTGATAAAAAAATAAACGAAAAATCAATAAAATTATAGTGCAAGTATTACAGATTAACAACAGTGTTCAGATTGCTATAATAAACTTGCTTAATATCTATATAGTATTTTATTTTCCTTTAAAATTACTCACTTAAAATTCTCATAAATATTTAAATAAAATATTCAAATACACATAAAAATTTCGAATGCAAAATTATTTTTTAAGGAATGTTTCAGATCTCTCTGATATTATGAAGCTTTTAATTGCATTTTTAATGAATTGTTTATCCTAAGGGAGTTACGGATTAATTGAATCCTTTTGACTGGGAAAACCCGTTGAATATCTTCTTACTCGCGCCAATAAAATAACTCATGTTTGCCCTGAATGAACACTGTTTAAATCAATGAACACTTGCGTAAAATAAAACATAAAGTATTAATTATGCCAATCTTAAAAAAACACCAAATACCAAATAGAAAAATATATTTTATGGGTAGGTATTTCACCAGTAATTAAAATTGTAATAAACAGAAACAGGGAACATATTATATGATACGGTTTATAATTAATTAATCATAGCATTAAATATACCGCATAAAAATTCAATTAATAATTAACAAACAATTGTTTTACAACATTATTGCACTGTAGAACTAATTAACCAATAGTTTTTTCTACATTTCAAAGTCGCCCAGTTTAAATCGTCGACAACAACCAGCAATCTTGTACACGCTAAAATTACTTCATCGATTATCGATTGTAATTTTTTAATTAATTATTTGGTAAGTATGCCATAATTCGATTAGTCGACCGTAAAAATAATAAAGCACTTAACGCAGGAACTAATTTCCATCGAGGTTTTCATAGGTAATATCTTTTCGATAATCACCGTGATAATAGAAATTGTATTTTATACAAGGTGTTTCAAAGGTGAAGTAAAGTAGTTTCCTGATTAATTAGTACACCTTGGCAATTTCAGCTCGGCACTTCTATGGAAATCGAGTCGGATGCGCAAAGACAACGATACTTATCATTTGAGCTATGGGTACAATTCGCCCCCAACCCGTTAAATTTACCAACGCCCATCATACGATACAGAAATCCCAAGTACCGAGCTTAATTTGCTAAGGTGTCAGTTTTAATGTAAAGAGAATTTTATATAAGGTTGATATATTTTTTTCGTATGCATTCAATTTATTCATTTTGTTAATTATTATTCATTGATATAATTGAGATTTAAAAAAGAAATTAATGAATACCATCAGTGAATATAATACACACGTATTCCCTTAATTCGTATCCAGAAAGTAACAATACCCGGCGAAGCGGCTGTAGCACAACGCGCATTTCCTCTCCCCCTCAACCGCCCCCGCACTTTTTTCGCTCATCCCGTCAATAATTGACCGAGTTGAGTCGGTTTAATTAACTCGGCTACATTCCCGATTTAATTAATAATTAAACCTTCCTATAGATAGTTAACAATTACTTCGCATTATATCGAGGAGCTTTGTAACCCTTAATTAGACGGCCGCGCGCTGTTCTCCAATCCAGAACAAGGCTAAAAATGGCGAGGAGGCTATAAAATATATACAAAGAGCAGCTCATTATGTCGGGAGACGGTATTTTAACAATGCCGTGTTATACGACTAACTTGCATTGATATACCATTGATCCGCCGATTATAGATGGTGGCCTATTTTTTTTCGAAGCCGCATTAGAATTTCATGAAATTCCGAAATCGGGCAAAAAATCGAAACTTCTCCGATCGTTTTTCGACCGGTCATTATTCGAAATCGACTCTGTTAATTAGTTTTATATTGTTTACCATTCACGATTAACCTGTTCCATTCGCGCCTACAAGGAAAAAAGCTGAAGTAGATGCGACTTTGTAGTCGGGACGTCTTATTATTTAGCCTTTCTACGAAATTTAGCTCCAGAACAATGATACTTTTTTACCTCTAGTAACATTATACCGGTCGAATAAAATCTCTTTTGAGAAGTTAGTAGTCTTTCCTATTACACGAGTATCGTTACCTAAATTTTACTTGTGATTGGAAAATTTAATTCTTCTTAAAGTTAGACTGCCCTGTATACAATTAAACCTTGATAATACGCAGTAGTCGAGTGGAAGTCTCGGTCCGTTCGGGTCCTTCTAATTATCTAATTAGATTGAAAGATTTATTTAATTCCTTCGATTGTTTGTTGTACTCGTACCGTTTCGCTATTTCTACTTTAATTAAATAGTTTCGCCAATTCCATAACTGCTTTTCTCCGGGGAACGCGTCCGCCTCTTTTCATTTTATTTACTTCCTCCATTACCGTTTAGCGTTCCTTTTTTCTTCGATTTAAGCAGATCGATTCGCGTTAATTCCCGCAATTCTTTCGTAATTGTTTATTTTTATTAACGCGATGAAACTTAATTCAATAACACCCAGCCTAAAGTTGAGTAGGTAAATTTCTGTTTTCGCCTCGGAGGACTCGGGATAAGACTCCTTGATCCTGATTGCTGTTCTTTAGCCTGTCCCTACCTACCTGCCTGTAGGAGGCCTTTTATGTTAAATAAGTAAGTGCTTACTTGCATCCCCTTTGCTTAATAGAAACGACAAGCAACGTTTCGAGAAACTAATATTTATCTAAGGGGTCGTCGTTTAAACCGAATCGAACATGTTAAGTTTAAGGTTTTCGCTGAACGTCGGCGCGGCATCAAATTTAATTACAATCCGTATAATGAAATGCTATCTCACATTCTGATCTGCGCGTAATGAAATATTTTGCATTTAAACAAAATGAGTAATTATACGGATGGAAATGAAATTACTTTTCAGTTATTTTAATTGCTGCAAAAGTGGAGCGGTTTTTTATATTCATTAAGTAGGGTTTTGTTTCTCGGCTACAAAAGAAGTGGCTTTTGAAGGGAAATATTTCAAGTTCTAACGAAATAATTAATTGCAGTCTTGATACGAAAGGAAATTAAATTTCTTTTCTCGTAATTTGTTTTCTCAGGAAGGTATCAAAGACTACCAAAGACTGCTCAACTCAACAAAAGCCTACAAATTTTAACTATGACTTAACACTGTGTGGAATACGATTCTTCAAAGTAAAGTTCCCCGGTTATAAGGATTTTTTTATGACGAAACACGCCGATTAAAATCGGAATAATTCGAGCAACAAACCCCCTCTGAACAAATCCACCCTATAATCCACGTCGATGCCGGCCCGAAAAGTAATTCCGTCGGTTTCATGGCCAATTAATACATGCGGAATTAAATTTATAACATAAAACAATGCTTAAAAGGCGTTCGGATATTAGAAAGCGAGCGCTCCGATTTTATGGAAAGCCTTTTCTTCGGTTGCGCGGAAATTCGTTGGCGCTCGAAAAAGATGTTAATAGAGGGAAATGGGGCTGTTTGTGTTTAGTCGGAATTAATTTTAAATTAGTGAGGATTCGGTCACGTTTACGGAATGTAAATTCTTTTATTGCAATAATTTTTCGCTTTAATAGGAATGGATAATTAACGAACGCCTCAAAAAGGCAATTTATAGGGTTTATAGTTGCTGTAGGGATGAAATTCCCATTAAATAAAATACGACAATTATTGTTAGTAATAAATTTATCGCAATTTTTTCGGTTGTGATCCTGCAAACTGTTATGTTGTTAGTTACGAAATTTTCTATTTTCATCAGGGCTATTAAGTCAGATGATTAAAAGGAGATTAAATCAATGTTTTTGAACAGTTGTTTTGGATACGGTCCTGAGTCGAATATGCAGATCGGGCATAAATCGGTTTGCGTCAAGGCATTATAAATAATTTTCGAAATTCGGTTGCCAGAACTTTTATTTTATTTTTTGCCGAGAATAAATCTTAATCTTAACGCGATGCGACTGGGTGTTACGCGTTAAGGCGTTACTTTTGCATTCGGTCATTTATAACAGACGGTTAATTTCGAAACTTCGCGACCGGATTAAATATAGAATGCAAGGATGCTAAATAAATAAATAACAAAGGACAGACAAGCGCAGTTTTTATTTGTATTCCTTATAGCGCAACTATAAATACCTTCGTATAGAGGACTAAAAAGAGTTTCGGTATGTAAAAGACTGTGTGATTTATGACTTTCAATAATATTGAAATAAATTATATCTATCTAATAATATTACAGAGCAATAGGAGTTGTTGCAGAACGTGAGACTGCGTTGTTTAAACATTATTTTTCTACAGATATTCATGTTGTAGGTACATACTTAATTTATTAAAATTAGTAGTGGACAATGTGGAAATTGTTAATAATAAAGTACACTCACCAGCATCAACCAAGGCGTCATTTCAATCACGACTACGACGCGGTCTTCCCACCTTTCCTTTACGTACTGTAGGCGTCGCGGCGGCTGTACTTTTGAGCAGTTTGTGCCAGTCTTGTTCACAAACCAGACTACCTGAGAGCATGTAATACCTGGAATTACGACAAAAAATATTGTATGTTAGTAAAACATAATTTACATGTATATGTAGGTATTTAGTAAACTGCACGTGACAAAACAATTATTACAAATGAGCTACATGCAAAACATTCCATCGACTAATTGCCCTCCTTCCCGTAGTCGAAGCTCGGAAAGACAGGAAGCACCCGTTCACGCACAACATCTATGCATACATGCGACTAATTAAATTCCCGTCCGAAGATGACGAAATCAATTAGATTTAATATAAACAACACGTATATTACCTGTCTCCGGGCACCAGGGGGCTCAGGCATTTGCTGCACATGAAGCATTTGAGGTGGAACACGTGCGGGGGCTGCTGCAGGGACGGACCGCCCGAACGCATCACCAATTCGTTGGCCGGAATTGACTGCCCGCACGCCGAGCAGGCGCCCGTGTTGCCGAACAACCTGCGGGACCATTAAAGAGACAATACATTAAATCTCTATTGTCGACGAAACGGGTCTGCCGGGATAAATGGGAAAATAGTTTGCGGGAATTTCGGATTGGATTTCGGACTGAAAGGATGGAAGCGTTTGTTCAAAGCTTGATTTTATTGATATATCTACGGATATATTAAATACCTATAAATCTAATTACATATATGTATTATATAATTACCTAAATATAACCCAATATTTTAAAAAAGAAATGTTGTTAATTATTTAAAAAATAAAATTGTAGAAATTATATTTCATTAAAGTAAAGTCAGTAGAAGGAATACCTAACTAATGATTTGTAACTATGCAACATTTCTATTCGAATGAATACAATATTTTTAATATACTTATCGTTTGTTCAAATAGTAAGCGTTCTAAACACAGAGAGTATTAATTAGAGTAAAGTAGCAAGTGAAATGTTTATGTAATTACATTAACACTCGTTTATTTTCAATGTCTAAAAATAAATTATTAGATCGGCGGATACAACCGTTAGGTACAATGAAAATAATATTCAAAAGTTTTGCGACTATGCTCGCATACCGATCAAGGATGCGATTTTACATGCATCTCGAGCGCAATAAACGTTTACGGTTTGCGCCGACGACCCTAAACGCATTCTTTACGCCTTCTACTTTGTTTCTAGCCTTCGGGGATCAAGTGTGCTATGCGAACAAGTCACACGATCTGGTTGTATTTTTTTCACATCTATTCGAAGATTATCTTCTTACAAAGTGGCTTCTAGGGGCGGTATTTTACATTATACTCCGTTCGCAAATCCCGTAGGGTAATAAAACGCACATTAAACACTATACGGCGAGAGATATCTCTGAGGGGTTTGCGAATGGACTATATTTTTGAGCGTACTATCAAACATCAATTAGCTATCTGGATGATGATAAAAAGGGCGCACGCACAGCTCTTAACGTAGGCGAGCGTAGGTGCGGAAACGAATCGTCTCCCGTTGGAAATTTGCATTTACGGGATTGTTAATGCAAGCGGTTGCATTAATCAAGGGTGCTGGCCGCAGAGACGGGGGTTTGTTGGCCGAACGCGTCGGCCCGACGTCGGCCGAACGTTATTAAAACACTAGTACACGGGTGGCTAATTAATTTTATGCAACGCCACACTTGAATGGCTCTCATAACGAATTTCCTCCCTTTTTATATCTGCGTCAGTTTCGTTCCATCACGCATCGCGTAAAAGGAAGAATCGATTCCTTTAGAAAGCATTTCTAATTGTCGTGGCGAAATTGAACCAAATTTCGCGTAGATTTGTTCATCGACTCCTTCTTCTAATCGGTATCGATCTAATAGCAATCCACCCCTTGTCGTATCCGGCGGGTGTATGTAGCACACACACACACATACACACACACAAGGCAAAACAAAGTATTAATAAATAATCCATCAAGTGGTAATTAGAACGTCGAAAGCATAACGTATTCAAAGTTGTGCATATGTGCGAGAGGGAGAGAGACGAGGAAAGAGAGAAAGAGATGCGAAACGGGCGTTCGATCATCCGCTTCTGTTTTAATTAGAAGTATCTTATATTGTGGAAATGCCAGGCGATTATCCGCTACGGGCACTTTCTGATTAACGAATCCAATTACAGTCGCGCGTTGTGCGCAGGAAATTATTAGTTGGGTCTGTTAATTAGATTATCCCGCGGACAAAAAGGTATTCGATCGATCAGAAATTTCGGTAATAGTTAAAGCTCCTCCGTCTATTTGCTGATGCAGGCCAACTACCAGCATCAATGCACAAATTATAGCCAGTACAAAATTGCTTAAATCGGCCCTATAGGATATTGCACATTCTTTTATCAATAGATACAGATAAGATTGTACAACAAACACAACTTCCATTAGGTACTTTGATATAAAAAGAAAAATAAAGAGTATAATATTGTATTGCAACTTTCTTAGTCTAAGTTTTAATATCTTTCTTCAACTCATACAATTGACAATATTATATTGCTAACAAATTTGCACTTATCTGTATAATGTTACTATATAGAAATATTTTATTTTGAATACTATTTACCTACATTAATAACGTCATGGCATTCACAACACGAGCAAATCATTCAAACAAAACGGCCCCTTTCCCACTCTTCTTCCAACTCTGGCTCTCCGTTTCAATTGCTGACGGTTGATTGACGTCGGAGCTTTTTGATAACCGTCGTTCTTTGTTCTTTGCGTTTGCTGATATTAATTAGTGGGCCGTCCCGAGGGCCGTACCGTGCCATTAAAAAATTAAAAATATTAGTTTAGGAACTTTTAACGAAGTCTGCCGGCCTTTGTTGCAGGGCTTTCCCCGAGACGAAAGGCTCCGTATCACTTGGGAGACGGACCTTCCGTTTCGATAAATTGATGTATAGTGTTGGAATTTAATTAATAGAATATTTTAATAATGCAGCAGATGCGTCGGGGTGGCTTTTACATTTTAATACACGGCTTTTAGCGAGTAAAAATGATATAATGCAGATAATAACGTAATAGAGTATTCAATATAATTGAATAAATTGATTGGATAATTCAAATACGTTGGGACAAGACTGAATACTGGAAATTCATCGCGTACGTAATGAGATTATAAAATTAATTAAAAACATATCCGACTAATTAATTTCTTTTGACATCTGTCGGAAATAAATGAGTTCTTCAGTAATCAAATGAAACATTTCAGGCAGAAAATCTAATTAGCTTTAACCAAAACAAAAGTTGTCAGTTACAGTCTTAGCGTTAAAGGAGAGGGAGTAGAAATAGAATTCCTGGATTTTTAATAATATCGACTATACAGGGTCGTTGGTGTTTATGCCAATTTTTTATTGTACAACTGGGAAAGTATCTACGATAATAAAACGATTTTTTTCGTAAGAATATATAAAAAAAACTTTCAATTCATTTTCAAATATAATTAGGCTTTAAGCGAGATTAAATTCTTCAATCCCATAAAGATAACTCAACACCCTGTATAGATAAATATAAAATGTCGTAACAAAAGACGTCGCTAAATTGGCCCTTAAATTACCGAGAAATACATCGATATCTTCCTTCAAGGAACCGGTTCTTTCCCTTATTATCCCGATAACGGGCAATTAGCGATAATTTGCCGCCTCGTTGAGGATCTCGATCAGCATTGCCCGTTTTCGTTAACGTTCATTCAGTCGCGAAGGATTTTTAAATTGTTGCGTGAATTTTCCAATTAACTGTTTAATAAGTTCCCAATAATGTAGATTATTGTTGCATTGTAGTAGATAAGTAAAGGGCGAAAGAAGAAAGTTTGGAAAAATTTGCGAGCTCGTTAGTGAATTTTACTTCGAAAAGAAAACAAATTATTTTGATCATATAAAAAAGTGAAACTTTTAATGAAGAATAATTCAAGGAAAAAATCTCCTACTTAAATTTAATTATACGGCAAAAATCGTTTTTTAAACAGGTTACGAAAGCTCCAGGCGTTTGTTAGCAATCGAGTGAGTATTTTTCTTATTACAGGCGAATTAATAGTGCACTTTTAAATTATCTCCCATTTAATTTCGTAGGTAAATAACATGAGTAGATACTCTTCAAGGTAAACGACGTTACCAGCACCGTTAATAATATAAGACGTAAGAACAGACGACGTTTTAAGATATCTGCCCACGTTTATTAATCGTTCATAAATAAATTACCAACTGGGACTGATCATTATTTTTTTATAAAACGAATGTTTATTGTAATTAAGTAATTAATGGAGTAATTTAATGGGAAGCAATAAAAGACATTGTATAAGTACAGATATTATTTCATTAGGAAATTTTATACTTAAATTATTGTTTATGCAAAGTGTCATAGAGAAGCATTAGAGGATTCTAGAAAATCATTATAATGAAAATTTTATGGATAAATTTCAACTCATAAGGATTTAGTATAAATATTCATTATCATTAATAACTTTATCCTAGCAAAAATTGAAAGAAATAAATACTAGTGTACGGTTTCCTTTATATAATTAGAAATTCGAATAAAAAAACGATTGTTATAATTGGTTAATATTTAACTTCAATCAATCCACCTAAAATGATTAAAACGAGGATTAATTCACACAAACGGTTCACGAAACATTTAAATTAATATATAAAGTATAAAGGCGACCATGCACGATTTTTCACGCGACGCCAATCGAACAATCCAAATCGTCGGTACATTCCTTCTTTAATCTCACCGTTTTCCGCGTACTAATCGCGACGAGGCTGCGGGCGCAACGACATCACGCTATATCAACGTTTCATAATGGAGTAATTTTAACAGAAATAAGATTATAAATTGAAAGACATTTTAAATTTGCATTTAAATCAGTATCCGTGTAATCGAGTACAGGCGGTGCGACGCGAATTTCCTCCCTCCTTTCCTCCATTTCCCGAGCCTCTCTGTTTAACCGCGAACGGTTCCGAAACTACGGAATTTACTCTGCATTATTTTCCTTTGCGGATGTATGGAGGAAAAGTGTATTTGTTGATGATAGAGTCATCGAGAAATACTACAATTAATAGTTTTGAGTATAGAACAATCCATTTACTGAATTATAGTTATTATATTTGATCAAATGTAAAGCAAAACCTACACAATATAAAATACAGGGTCGGTCCGCGGCGATGTGGATACAAGAATATTACAAGTGGGGAAAAACTTTGTACATTGTAATATCACTCGAGACGGAAAGAAATATAGTGTTGCAAGGCGTGATTTTAATTTGTTCAGGATAGTTATAGAACTATAGAACTGTGCACAAACATTTTCTATGGGACCTTTGGACTAGGGCCATTTGAAACAATTCTGGACAATCTTAGAATCATATACAGATATATTGTATAACTGTTATGTAGAACCTATTTAGGACTATTTAAAACGGTCTACGAAAAAACTAAAAAAACTCAACCATCATTTAGAATGCTTTCAGGACTATTTAATGTAGAACTTTTTTTAA